GTCAGTGTTAGTCCAGGAAGTACTGATCGTGTTTGCCCGAAGGGGTCAGTGTCTAACGGCTGCTTCCATTGTTTTCCCTGCAGGAGCAGCGTGGAGAGAAAGGACAGCACGCACAGGGTGTGCACAGTCACGACAGCGGGGCGCACGAACACGGACGCCACTGGAAGACACACGCGGGAGTCTTGGGGAGCACGGGGATTAATTGTGCATCAGTATTTACCACACTGTAAATAAACGCACTGTCTACACACAGAGCTCCGCGCTTGGGTCCTCATTCCTTACATCCCCACGGTCTGCCAGCCAGACCATGACAATTTCGGCTTGGTTTTTGGTAAATGAATAATAAATAATGACACACTGCATGTGTTGGTGCTTATCTGAGGTTCTATTTACCTCAGTGTAGGACCTGATGCATAAAACCTTAGAATTCAAAGATGGTGTACCTTCTGTTTTATTGACATGACTGTACATATGAGTCTGTACAACCCTATAGAGAGCCAAAAAAAGCATTAATGCAACGCTAATATAAAAAAAAAAGGGTATGAGTCAGGTTGCCAGGAACTTTCTACATCAATAATTCATAACACACTCTGTATCAGCTCAGGGCACACAGGGTGAAGGATATTTTCTCATCCCCACAACACTGTCTGCATCCCTGATAAGAACCTGTTGGCAACAATAGCGATGTCTGCATTGTTTTGTCTCAAATGTATTTCGCTTATGTCACAGAAGAGAACATGTAGCTCTGTGTCATCTATTCAAGCAGAAACAGGACATTTTTATAACATCATATAAATGTGGCAGAGTGAAGTGCGATACTATGGAGCGCCTGGTGTTAATTCATGTATGATAATACAAATGCATTTGAAAAAGAACATTGCTGCTGTCAATTCCATCCTCTTATTCCCGGTGGCACTCAATTGGATACTGTACAGTGTGCCTCCCCTAATGTGGATTTCTCATGATATTTTTAATTATTTTAACATATGTGCACAATACGTGCCTGTAAACCACATATGTGACAACAGCGTGAGACAATAGGACACAATCTGTTACTGGAAACATGCACCTCTCTCTTTTGCACACATCCATGGAGAACAAATGTGCATGTAAAATATATATTTCCTACATTTACTACACAGGGTTTATGGGTTTAAACTGGTGCGTGGTAGTGCAGAAATGTTAGCTGTGCCAAATCACAGAAAAAACAAAAAAATGTTTTCAGTTTTATCAAACCAAGACTCTATGCGCTATTCCAGGAAAACTACTGACCTCCAGGGGAGCTTCTTGACTGGGGTGGCAGGTAGCGTCGGGGCAGTGCCGGAGTGGAGGGGGGCTGGAGGCTGTTGCTGCGACATTGTGCCCCTCTCTGGTGATCTGTCGACGCAGTGCCAGTTGCCACTCTATGAAGAGGAGGCTCCTCACTCACACTCAGACCTAGAATACAAAAAAAAAAACAAAACAACTCATTACCTTCAGAGTTTTCTGCCCTATTTTCTGTATTTCACATCTCTTGCAATCACATATTATTCCTATAACTGGACAGGGCTATATTCTGACTGAATTTAGGGTCACTGGACCGGGAAATGGTTTCTAACCTCAGGGTCTCACTGCTGCCGCCCCCAATTTCTTGTCCGTTAACCCGGGACATACACTTGTCTTTCATATACCCACACAATCTCAAACACACACACATACAGGGATTTGTTTACACAGGGACACATCGACAGGCATACAATACTTGGAACATGTATACTTGCAATGATTACTGCTCTTCCTGACTCTTAATGGAGCTCTAATCTATTAAAAAACTGACAGATAGTTTACACACTCTCTCTCGCACGGCATAAATCCTGCTCATCTCCCCGTTCCTGATCAATAATGACACAAGAGATTACCGGCATTTCTCAAGCTTCAACATTTTTCCATCAAACAGGGATTAAGAAGTGGTTTTAAAGCTGATCGAAAGAAGCTATGAAATTATCATTAAGCCATTTAGAACAACTTGTACCTCACTGTAACGCAAGTTGGTTGCTTAACAACACAGGAAAAAAATCCTGTTAGAATGTATCTATCAATACTTTCCTTTGACCAGCCGCAAGCCCATAGTGACTGCAAACTTACTTTGCTCTTTGCTGCATGAATAGTGTGCAAATATAAAAACAGCAATATTATATGTAATATTCCACAATCAGCTTTAAGTAGAATTATTACAAGCATTAAGAGTCCAAAGATTATAATTATAATTGTTCAGTGTGTACTCTGCAATCCAAATTTTCTAACGACCAATATATTTTATTTCCTAATTTTAATTTAATTGTTTCATTACAGTTCCATCCATCTATTTTCTTATCTGCTTGTGTAAATTAGAGTTATTTAGGGGTGTTTAACTGGGTGAGAAGCAGGAAACAACCTGGACAGGTCACCAGTCCATCACTGCAAACTCTCACATCCACCCCTACAGCCAATTTAGAGTCACCAGTTAACCTAACTAGCAGGTCTTATTGTTCACTGATTTGTCAGCACACAGTTGACATATGTTGCATTCCCCAAGCTTCCATATTATCCCAGAGCTCCTCTGGGAGTTCATTACTAAGGCTGCTGACAGTCTGACAGCATTTCTTTCTCATTAACCAGCTGAAGATATGGTCAGTTTATCTCATTCAAATCTAATCTTGGAGAGTGGAGTGGACTACGTTCACAGAGCTCTGTGGCTCAACCTGTCAGCATCCTTTATATTAGAGGTTTAAAAGATGAAAACCTAGCCTAGAACATTTAAACTGAGTTGACATAGATCAGTTGGCTGGCCGATATAAACAGAGATGAGCTCATTCATCAGAGGTCAAATATGGACAAATGAACTCCCGGAGCACAGAGAGGAAGAGAAAACGATGATGTGGGGAATACAAAACTGGGGAATGCTGTGAAAGAGAAGATGGCGACTATTTTGAGGGCTTAGAGAAGGAGAAAAGAGGGGATGCATTTCATTATCAAGCTGATATGCATCACTTATTGGCTAATTGCCAGCTGATGATGGATAACAGAGGAAGAAAGAGGGAAAAGGCTGGATGCATGGAATTAGGAGGAAGGCAACAAAAGGATATAAAAAGACCTACAAGGAGCAATAATTGGTGCTGCAATGGAGCCGGCAGCAAGCTTAGTATTTTATAGAGACGGATGAAAAATAGCAAAGAAATGAAAAAGGGACCATGAATAAGAGGAAACAGCTGAGGACAAAAGACAGCAGGCTTTTGTTCTCAGCGGGAGGCCATTTTATTGGATGGGTTTGTTCCTCATAGCTAAACCAAGACCAGCAGAACTGACCTGGCTTTTTGGTTTTCAGTGGTATTCACTGGCAAAAACAACATTTTAATTTGAAAGTAAAATAGTCAAATGCTTCGTTCTCACTGCGACATGAACTCTTTGGTGTTTTTCACATTCACATTTATAGCACGGAACTGATCAAGCCCATTCACGTTGAAAGTAACCCAGGGGGAATGCATCCAGGTGCAAACATGCATACGCAGGCGTTGATGTAGGAGCTTGCAGTGCAGCTTGCAGTGCTGACATGACAAATCAATAGCCCCCATTTTTTTCCCTGAAAAACACCTACCACCCAACAAAAAGGCGAATGATGTATTATGTATTATATGAGAAGAAGAACCATGCGGTAACAGATTCTTTGAGATATTTGTAAGATAACTAATGAAGGTAATGCAGGTAAAGGGGTTACATTGGTCCTGTTTTAAGTCAGGGCAGCACGGTGGTGGTTAGCACTGTTGCCTCACACCAAGAAGATCGTGACTTTGATTTCACCATATTTCCTTCACGTCCTTTCCTTTCCTTCACCAGCTCTCTCCCAAAGACAAATAACCTAGTTGGGTTGGGTTAACTGCTGATTCTAAATTGTCTAAATTGCTCATAGGTGTGAATGTGAGAGCATATTGTTGTCTGTCTCTCTGTGTTATCCCTGCAACAGACTGGCGACCTGTCCAGGGTGTACTCTGCCGTTCATCATATGTTAACTGGGATAGGCTCCTGCGATAAGAACAAGTGGAAGAGTATAGATGTTTTAAGTCGTGGTTTGTGAGCATTTCTTGTTAATACCTACTGAGCTGGAGGTACTCGCGTCCTGTATATAAATAGATGAAGCAGCCTCACAGTGCGCAAATATTTCATTTAAAATCACTACACTCAAACTTGTACTTGAAGAACAAAAGAAGTACAAAAAGTATTCGTGATGACACAATGAACACATATCATCATTTCCCTGTTAATATTATTATGTTTAACTTTAAGCTAATGTTAATTAATGCAGTTTCTTTGTGTTTTAATCAATAAATCCATCCCTTTATTTTCTCTCACTTATTTTTGTTTAACAACAAACGTACAAATACCTTAAGACAGAGATTACACCTTGTGCCTTAAATGACTGAGTTTCTGCATTTGTGCATTTTTTTTCATCATACATGCTAAAGTGCAGAAGAAATAATCAGAAAAACAAACAGCTATAAATTAATTCACAAAGTTAAAAGTAACAGATCCAGGTTTGCTCGCAAGCTGCTTTTGTAAACATTTAGACAACACGTGTATGGATATAACTGGAATTTGAAGTCAGTGTGTAAACCTACTGAAAATCTCTTCCATTTATACACCGACTTTTAAGCCTAACCCTATTTTTAACTTTTTTAACTTTTTTTTAATTAGACCACATGTTCTCACAGACAGATGTCAGTTTCCTTTAACACTGTTCAGTGCCAAAGACAGCGTGTGTAATGAAGCTTGAAACTCATATTCATCAGAGGCCATAATTTGTTCTGCTTATTAATGGCTTCCTGCTGATTCCTTCCGTCAGCTGGTTTTAAAGGTGGAATAAATGAAATTCAGAACAACTGTCAAAAGAAAAAAAAAAATCTAGCCACATAAGGAAGGGAAATTGACTCCATCGACTCTATCCAGTATTTATAGATGAACCAGTAAAAGAATATTTGGAAGAAAAGCTATCTAGATAAAATCACATTAATAATATTAAATATTAGAAACTGGTCAACAAGCAGATTAACTCGAATACTGGGTTTCCAAAGCATGCTAACAGAGTAAGATGAATAAAACATAGAATAAGATACAGATTTGATATTCAATATTCAGGTTACATTATTCCTTTTAATTGAAAGTGCAACCTGGAATTGACAAAGGAGGTTGATTGGTTCAAAATTAGAAAGTGTGGCTTTAAATATGCTCCAAACTGAAATTGATCTCAAGCTACCTTAACTTAAAACTTTAAGTTAAGATTGTCACCAAATGTCTTCTCATGGTAACTAAAAAACAGTTTGCAAACGCACGGAATTGTACATCCCACAATTCTCAGTTTTATATCAGGGAATAAAACGCTACAATGATGTGTGATGTTCTTGAAAGTCATGGTAAGGTTATATCTGAATATATAAATATCAAATTAATAACCCCACAGAGCAAAGGCATGGGTTGTAGACAGTCGAATTAAATGATAACACAGGAGCTGACGGCAGCAGCCTCGGGCCTCCTTTCCTCTCCTAGGACACAGATGCCAAGAGATTAAAAGTTCATTCCAGCTAAAAGGACAGCATTTCTCCTCTCATGGTCAACAAGAGAGAGATGCTCCTCTATGATAAGGAGCACTGACTGAAAGCAGTCAAATGGCAATTTAAAGTTCAGTCTTAAGAAATGAGTTAGGCTGGAGGAAAAGCAATTTCTCTTGATTAACCTCCTAAGACCCAAACTCTTCCAGAGCATGCATTTTTAATTTCTCTTTGATATTTGGGCATATTGGGGCCCGATGAATGTAAAAACAAAGAATTATCAAATGTTTTGTTTTGTTTTTTTACCTGATTTTTGTTTCTAGGAAAAATGAGAGCCACAAATGAGGATATTTGTTAGAATTTTGATAGAACAGTGGCAGTATAATGTCCTCGTAAGTGGATATCAGGCCCTTGTAGAGCAAAATTGAGTATTTTGGTCTAAATAACCCAAAATGTGATGTCCACATATGTGGACGCAGGGTCCTAGGAGGTTAAATATAACACTGCTGTTAGGCTCTTGATCAGTCTTGAAGAAAGAAGATTTATGAAAATTCAAAGCAGGAGAGAATAAGCAAAAGATTTAGGATGGAGAGAGGAGGCAGTAGAAGGAGACCATCTGCTAACCACAGTCTGGGTTCAAAGTGACAGCCAGAATCATCCCTGCTGAAGTGTTCTTAAGCCGAGCCGTTTGCTCTGCATTTCTTTCAGCTTCTGGTCACAAGCTTGGACAAAAACGGTCATTTCACTCACTGAGGCAACAGCACGAGAAGTGAGCACAGGCAGTCAGCACTACTTTAGCAGTACTCAGACTCTGTCTCCAGGTGCTAAGCCTTTTACAGAATAAGTTAATGAAAATGCATTTACCACCATGGTGCTGCTACACCCGCCTGTTAGTTATTGACACTTTTTGGGATAATATCAAGCTCCCTGTTTAGGCTTCTGAAAGAACAAAGCAAAAAATAAATATTAATTTATTAATTTTACAAGCTTACATTTTTCAGCCACAAAATTACATATAACAAGTGTGACGACATTATTTATGTGTCTATAAAAGAGGTTGCCTTTGAGGCTGTAAAATAAAAAATATAATAAAAAGGCAAAAACTAGT